GGGGAATTCTGGGAGTTAAAGTCCACTCATCTTAAAGTGGCCAAGTTTGGACAACACTGCCATATGAGGTAGGTTGGCTTAAGTGAAACAGAAAGATTGGCCCAAAGATCCCTAGTAAACTCTGTACCCAAGTGGCAACTTGAATTGGGGCTCCCAGCTCCAAGTCCGGCATATTCATTTCCCACCTAGAACTGCCATTAACACTATGCATGCACACTCATGCATTCCAAGCACACTGTTATGGGCAGTCCTATCTCCCACTGTGCATCCTGCCCCTTTGCTGCCCACTCCTTGCAGCAGTATTAGTACTCCCAACAGCCACAGATGAAAAAAGACTCTAGTTCCTGAGCTAGAGGGTGGAAACGGCTGCATCCTAGTTTAGGAAGGCAGGGAAAATGGAGTGGGGGGAGTGGGAAGGCTGGATCATGGGCTAGGGATAGAGACTGGGGAAGGAATAGAGAACTGGGTTGGCACAGACAAAAGATTGGCCCAACAGGGTGAGAGGGAAAGGGAGAGAAAAAGGGAAGGAAAATGGAGAGCAACAGAAAAGAAGGAAGAAGCATAGTGTCAAGTAAGTGAGAGGAAGAAAGCAGGTGTGGAGTGGGCATGGAAAGAATGAAGGGGGTTGTACGGGTCAAGACTGCTCAGAAATCACTCTAGTGCAGTGGTTCTTAAACTGTGTGACCCAGTTTGGAATAATGTCATTAGCCCCCCTCCCCCCACCCACCAAAAAAACCACAGAGTCTGCTTTCTTACACTAGCATCTGGGCAGTGGCAGTCCCAGACTGGATCCTCAACTCACAGATGTTAGCCTTGTGAGGTAGTCCAGAAAAGAAGCACAACCAAGAGTACTAGCTCCATCTTTATTGTAAGGTTACATAAACAGAATCTTGCGAGACTAAAAGTATTTCTCCCCTCCTTTCCTTTTACTCTCCAGAAAACTAGGGAGGGTCCCTTCTGAAATGTTTCCCATGCCATCTCCCTTTCTATGGGCTGAGACATCTTTTACATACCAGTTGTCCTGTCTGCGACACTCCCTCCCATTTCCCAAGGTCATTCCCACATGCCATTACATAAGCAAGCCATTACAAATTGCTTCATGACCCCCAGGATATGCCCAAATTACCCCCAGTTTAAGAACCACTGCTCTAATTTCAGTGGCAGGCTGCTAAATGTTTAGGAACTGGCTCTGCCAGCACGATCGTCACTCCCATGCTGAGTTCCTGGCCACAGAATAATGATTGGCACACTGGGCGTGGAGGCCCACCTCTGCTGTCAGCTGGCTCACAAAAATTCCAGAAAGTTTAACCATCAGATCTTGTAAGCTGGAGAAACCCAGATCCAGCACACCACTGTCTAATCTTTTAAGACATAAATGTGCAGTTTTTAAAATCTTTTAAAATCCCCAGCTGGATGGAGAGTTCATGGTCCAAACACCAACCTTGCCAGGGAAGTAACAGATATATGGTAACCCTTATTTCCTCCATCTTGATCCATTAAAAATCGTGGGGTCTTATCTTACCCCTTACTTTTGGGGTTGTACTTGGCCCAGGCCTGCAAGTTGTACTCCTTGCAATGGCTGCTAAATAATTTCTGGCTGGAGGCCTACCCATAGGGTTCAAGGTCATCCTCCACAGCAAATTACTGAGCATAATCTGAGTTAGGGATTATGAAGCCAGCTTGACAAAAGAAAGCCACATCATCTGCAATAGCTTGGTGACTTCTTATATATCTGACACTTTAGAAGCCAGAACATTTACTGGAATGCCCAGGGCTAGCTTCAGGAATGAAGAGACCCGCTTGGAATGATACCATACGGTGCTGCCATTGGGCATATCCATCTATTGACAATTTTAACAAATGCTGGAAATGAGAAAATGTACAAATTGGACACTGATCAGATCTCCGGCCTGTATCAGCTAATATTCAATGGGGGAAACATACCAGAAAACATAAGCACAGCAGCCCTTGCCCCACTTGTAGCCCCAAGCAAGAGGTCTTGAGAAGAATACTTCCTACAATACAGTTGAATATCTATCTATTACAACTAGTGGACATTGGTAGCTCCATCCTCCATTACTTGATCTGATTGCCTTTTAAAGCCATCCTCACTTCATCAGCAATGAAGTAGATTTTAAAAAAGATTTTAAAAAGAGTGGAAAACATTTCCTTTCTCCACGCATACTTTTATACAGTTCTGTATTTTCTGTTGTTATAAAAGCACTAACATTTCTATGTAGGGTTTCTCTTCCTTTCTGAATTGCAACAACCAGTACAGTTGCAACAAATATTTCTGTAAGGCATTACAATATTAGCAAATTAATTTTATTTAATGATCTTCATCAAATTTTAATTTCACAGCAGCTTCGTTCTGTGTCAACCTGTTCATGAGGCTAACTACAGTAATTCAAACATTTCTATCCCGGTCAGCCATTGCCAATTGCAACTTCATCAATTTATCAGTAACTATCTTTCTTCACACATACATTTCTATTTGTTGAGATTAAAGTCCATTCCCCCTTTGGTGCAATATGTTATTCATTTTGTTTTAAATGGTCTGGAGCATTATGCGAGATTGAAATGAATACATTTAAAAAGTGCAATTATATGATCAAATTTTTAAAACAGGTTACTTTTGGGAAATTTTAAACTGATGGATTCTAATTGCCCACCATGGGAGGCCTCCCAGGAAGCAAGCAGAAAGATGTTAATGCTGATAGTGAATTTTTATTGGCAACTTGTGTATAATTTCAGGGGGCTTTATTTTTCTAGATACCTCAGATGACAAGGTTGAACTGTGGATGAGAAAATTTCTAGAATTCAGTTACATTTTTTAACATATATTTTTTAAAAATGAGACCCTAATATCTGGCATTATACCATCAGAAATACACTGAAATAAAAATGAAATTATGATTTATGGACTGGATGATTAGTTAAAATAATAGGTTATACAAAATAGGTATGTTAAGAGGTAGTTTTAGAGTAAGAGGTCACTATATGATTTATCTATATCTGCTGTATAAGAAGTCGGAAGTCACTCTTTCTGTAGTTTTCCTTTCTTTCCTTTTCATCACTTCTGTATTCTTTATTTCTAACTCTCTTGTTCTCTATTTCTCTCTTTGATTATTAGTTTTTGTTTGCTTTTATCCTCATGCTTTTTATAACTTAATAAAGTTCATATAAAAAAATACAGTGGAATAAATAAACATTGTGCATGTTCTTTATTGCAGATAATCAAAGAAGGTTATCTTCTAAAAGCTAAAATTGCAGATGAAGGCAAGAAGCTAAGGTAGGTGATATTAAATAATTCCAATATAAACAGAAGTGCAAAGTGATATGTTATTTGGCTGGAGATTCAGAGAAAAAGCAGTCATCAAGTTTGGTCTGCAGATCAAGTTCATTTTTTCCCAGTCATTTTCTTCAAAAGTTCATAGAGCTGTAAATCATGCCCCCACCTCCTCCAAAGACCTCCAAACATCAGATCTTCCATAATTTCATTATCAAATTGCAATTTTTAATGTGAAAGAATGGGGGGCGGGATTGTGGTAAATTGAATATAGAAAGCACACACACATACACCCACACACAAAACTATTCTTAATCCACAATTTCTGTATGTTTCTGTATGTTGCTAAATTGACTCCATTAGGAAGAAGAAACAAGAACTTTAACTGTTTCTGTGGAAGATGCAACTTTGTTCCTTATTTTGAATCTTGCTCAGCTTAGATTTTAATTTTATCTGGCATGACTCCATATAAAAAGTTGGAAGGGTAAGCCAGCAACAATGTCCCTAAAAAGCAGAAATGGAGAACATTTTGGAGTTCTGTATATCTTGTGGTGTTATAAAAGGTGCTGTATTAGGAAGAGAGAAGTCATCTGCGTGCCATTTCTATTCTCCACTTGAGGCAGAGAACTTAAAATGGTCAGTGATGTACTTGATTATCTCTGTCTCTGGATCCTAATTTGAAGGGAGTAGAAACGGTTGCTTATCAAACCAGAGCTGGAAATATCTCTAATTAGTGATATTCGAATATGGAAAATACATCAGGGGATTTGGGGGCTAGAGTAGTAGGTATCTGAGCAACTGAAGCTCAGTAATTATATGTCTGGGTTCCCATAGCTGAATTTCCTGATAGTGATTTTGACATCCATAGTCAATTCAGATGCTCCTTGTCTGAGGAAATACACTCTCATGGATGCATCAACTCAGTTTTAACCAGAGAGTGAAACCTTGCTCTTTTTCAAAGGGTTACATGCTGCTATGGAACATTATGTGAAAGCCTTTCAAGTCAACTGTTGAGGAGTAAGTTAAATAGTCTTGTGAGAAGACTGTATCCCTGCAGTATGTGATAACTACAGTCACCAAACAGATGGGCCTTCCCACATATCTCAGTTGCTTTTGGAATAACCTAATAAAAATGTTGTCCTAATATGGATTTTCCAATTATGAAGGACTCTGATCTTGTTGTAATATTTCAAAGGGCTGTTACCATATTTATGTATTTAGGTATATAGATTGCACTTTTATCCTGTCCTTTAGCCAAAGAAAACTCAGGCTGGAGCCTGTGGCCAACACCTTGTTTTCCTTACAGCTAGCTCTGAACGGCAGAGAAAAACACCTCACTATGTATCATAGTTGAGCAGAGAATTAAATGCAAGTTATCAATTCAGCCCCACCAGGGATCCAAGTGTACCAAAATATAATCAAAAGTTGTTTATGTTATTTTTAAATATACGTCTGTCATGGTTTAAATTTACTATATACATCCACACATATGAAGACAAAAATAAGAGTTCCGGAATTTAGAAAGAAGTGTTTGTTCCTAAATTGTCACTTCCTGCTACTAAGGTGAAACACAGAAAAATTGGAAGTGCTGACATTCTTCTGCTAAACTTGGAATTGTCTGATGAAACTTTAAAGACCTACATAAACCACATTGATCTTATAATGTGCTGCCATCAGGTGTCCATTTGCTAGAATGCAAATATAATGACCACAGGAAGAATGCTATTGAAAGTCATTGATTTCAATTTAAAAAATAGCTCAAACTCTGAAGCTTTATCTCATGCAGCTGGGAAGATCAATGTTTTTCATGGTATGTAACAATTGTATGATTCAGATGGCTTAAATCTGATTGTTGCAGGATTTTTCCTTTTGTTTTGCATCATTTTGTGTTGCTTTCTGAATGATGTCACTTTCTAATGCGTTGCTATTTATGCTTCTAACCAAATCCCAACGTTGTTTTCTTGCTTGAAGATTACTGGGGCCATTTCAGCTGCCTGCTTGCCTTCTCTCTCTCTC